ATATCTATCGCATATTTGATATGTTGGCTACCTAGCAAATGCTACGCAAATCATGGCCTTGCCTTTCGGCTTGCTTGTTGTGCAACCCAGTTATGGTAATTAGTAAATTTAGTTTTAAATTCATATTTTGGATTACATGAATCCAAATAGAAAACAATCTTTGATAATTTGTTGGTCACATATATATTTATATGCAAGACAACAAATCGATTAAATATTGTAAAACGCTAATAATATACATGTATATATAGAGTGGCAAAATATTGACATGCTGTTACGTTTTGGGAGCTCTAATTTGCCAGGACTCAGCCGGGAATAAACCCTTTTTGCTAGCAGCTAGCAGCAGTCGCCCTGGCAAATTAGTACTCAAATATACATATTTAATTCGTTACCGAAACGTAATTTTATACCACGAACCAATTAAAAATTGATAAAACGGTTCGAGTGTCTGCAACAGGTAGAAGGAAGCATTTCAGATAAAGATTCGCCTTGCTGACAACCTCCTAGCGTCTGTAACAGCCCAAGCTGATAAATTGCTGACGTCGAGCAGCAGCTGAGCCGGATTTCATTGAGGCAGACACTTCATTGTAATGAAACTGTGTTGCTTTGCCTATATCGTCAGATATTTCCTTATTCAAACCTGATTTATAACGATTAGCCAAAGTTATTCATTAAGATGAATTAAGCTGAAAGTCGAATGTGGAAATATTTATTGACATAATTGCTCCCGAGAAGTTTCACTAGTTGCTTACATCTTTGAATATGTCGCCTTAACGCCTGTTAAGGTTAATAATTATATTGAAGTCGTCTGCGTAGAATTTGCTCTTTTTTTTTTTTAATAAGTCTATCACTGCAGACGACGAAAAAATCAATGAAAGAGTGGGGATCCTTTGATTTTCTATTGTGTAACGGGTAGATTTAATTTTCCTGTAGGTTATCAAATGTGAATTTTTTTAACCAAGCTCGTATGCCTAAACGTGTCGATCTTAGACCCTATGAACGATAACGTAAGTTCCTAGTGCACGCTATGCTCGACCAAACTTGACATCAGGAGTATATAAATCAAGCATATAGCATATTATAGCTTTCAGCAGCCCCAGCACCGCAACATTACTATGAGCCAAAAATGAAAATGTACAAATATTCTGTAGAAAAATATTGAAATATTGCAAATTTCATTAGAACCCGTTAAGAAACACAAGTTTTTATTGAAATCGTGTTGTTATATATGTATATTGGCAGGCCAAGTGTTTGCGGCAGGTTAATTAGTTTGTTTCTTAAATATCGAATTTTTGTTATGACTGTAGAGTAGAAATTGCGACTAATTGTGCAGTTGGTTACGGGCACGCGAGAAGGAGTTGGATAGCTGGTTGCGGGTAATGTTCATGTAGACTCTTCCCAATTAAATGACATTCGAAAAAACTAACCGTGGAAGGAAATGGTCGCATCGGAGTTGTCCATGCTGGTGTATGATGTTCTTGTTATAAATATTAATTCATTAATATTCCATACTTTTCGAATATTTGTCGTTTTCTTTACAGCTCTATCCGCATATCAAAAGTATATGAGATTGTGTGAAAAATATTGGAATAACCATGCTTTTATATATGGACTAGGAATCGTTTATTTTGAATTTCGCTGTTTCAAATGGTAACTAATTAAACTTTTCTATTCTACATTTAATATTAGATGCATTACATATAAGAAAAATATCGTTAGTGTCTTTAAATATTTTTTTTAATTATAAATAGTACAGAAAGAATAGAAAACCCGTACATGCTGCATTTAGGCTTGTGAAATTTGTTAAATCAATTGTTGAATCCCACCTAAGACCGTCTGTTTGAATAACCCAAAGGCTAAAAAATTCAACGTAAACTTCGAATTGAGTGGTTGGAGTGAATATCGTACGGTGTACGGTTTTGTTTAATTTTCCCTTTCCTTTTTGTACTAAATTCGGAAAAAAATCCCGAAATTGGGACCAATGGTAGTGCTGACTCGAGCTGGGCTTTCATTAAAGATCGTTATTGACTATCATCCACCTACGTGATGGGTTACAAGTGGTTGGGTTCAGTTTAATAGAGTGCCGTGCCGCTGGCGTGTTGGAATGTAGAAAGTCGTGGTATAAGGGCTTTGTTAAAATTGAGGTCTCCGTCAATTCTATAGAATACCTTCACAATAACATTCTAATCTGATCAACAGCTTTCGTATGAGGGACTGGGAAATTAACTTAGACCATTTTTCTGTTTCCTCCGCTATATTTTAAAAACTCCGTTATATTACTGTAGTGTCTGATGTTATCCTGCGGTTCATACCATTACGTTTGGAATCCGAATAGTCCGATAATTTGCTATCGCTATTATGATAAAGCCCAACAAGCCGGCAAGAGGGAGGGCACCTAAATCTATTCAGTCTATTTTATAACTAATTTATTTATATTTTTTTGTTATGACGAATCAACCGTTATTTAAGGTTGTCCTTCTCGACCACCCTCCCCGTAATGGGAACGGACATTCCTAAGTCTGCTTGAAAAGTTTACTCCGTGCACAAGGGGCTTAGTTTTCTTCCTAATCTTCTGTTGGTCTTGGCAAATATCTTTTCTCCTACATCGAATATCCAATAAGTGTCTTACCCTTCACGAAGTCGGTTTGACTCTACGGTAGCATGTATTATTAGTTCTAAAAAGTCGCCGATCCTCCTTTCCAAGCCTAAAGCCTAAGAACTGTAAAGTGATGGTGCGATTAGCGAAGTTATGGTTTGGTGGTCTGTGTAACTTCTTTTAGTGCCCAGAATATAACGGTATCATCCTGTGACGCTGCTTGGAGGCATGACCTTTTACCAACCCAAAGACACCCCGTCCAAGTGCGGTGGTTGCGGCATATGGCCGCTGTGTTGCAAACCACTCAGTTAGCATTGACAGTCCAAAATGCTCATGGTTTAGTCCAAACCAAAAAGTGGTACAGCAACTCGATACGGTTTCACTGGAAGTCGTGCACCGTTGACCAACCTTTGTACATCGCATCGATGCACACATTGCTGTTTTTTTAACGTTTTCGTTTATCCGCTTCACTAATGTCCACGCTTACTCACTGTGATCGGCTATCTGGTCGCTCTTCCACCAAATTATTATATATTTACTTGTCCGCGTTTGGCGGTTTCTTTTACAACTATCTATGAATCTAAAGATTCGTTTCTACAATCTACTTTTATTATATAATTCCTTTGTAGACATTTGCCTTACGGTTTTGTAGATATATAAGAATCGTAAAGCTCGTAAAACTGGGAAACTGAATATTTTGTCATATTAGAACTACTTTTCGTTCCTATAGCAGTTATATAATATAGTTCACGATGTAGATAAGATTTGGCATTTATGTAGGAAGTTTAGTTTATTTTATAAATGTGGAGGTTGGTAAAGATACCTTGAAACCCAAAATAGTTTTCCCTACAAGAACTTAACTTTCGACCGACCGGTAGATTTTTTTCCCTGTAAAAACAAAACCTATAATATATTTTAAAAATAAAATATTTCATGAGTTTCTGGAACACATATATTTAAAAAACACATTTAAAATGTTGTTTACAATGACGTTAAAATGACATATTATCGAATGTAAAACAGAAATCGATATATGCCATACCTAACCATGTTATAAGTACAGGTTTTATACGCGCATCTAGGCATCTGTGTATGCAAACGTAGTGCCAGTGGAAACAGGCTATTAGACCATTAGAAATATCGACGGCTGCTGAACGGAGCTATCGATATGTTTTACATTTTCATGCCACCACTAGTCAGTAAATTAAAAACCATGGAATTTTGAATGTGTATTATCCGTGTTATTTTTAATTTAAATAAATAAAAACACTGCCAAATAAATTCTCAACACTGCGACGAACTAGTACAAATTAAAAACCACACATCTAACAATGAGTCAACTAAAATAGTTTTTGGAAATTCTTTTAAAGTATGTGCGTAACACTAGCCATACACAAATACTGTGTGTTTTTGTGCATACATAGCTAGACTTAAGTGTACAAATTATGTTTTGAATCATAATTATTGCTTGTAAAAAAACAAAGTGCGAACATATATAATCTATAAGTAAGAGCCTTATCATATACCACATTATATTGTGTTTGTTATATTAAAACAAAATAAAACAAAGGAACACCGAATAATTGTATGCATAGGGCTAACGTTTTTATAGGTATGTAAAAATTGTGAGTCTCAAAAATGCTACGTTTGTTAAAAATATCCTGGAAATAGCAATGTTTTGCTATACAGTTAACTTATTTTTCAACCGATTCTTGAAAGGACTTATTTGTAGAAAGCATAGTCAAGTTAACGTCGGGCTCCATGAAAAAAAAAAAAAACAAAGTTAATCTTACCATAATTTTATTTGGTGCCAATCGTTCCTATGACAGCTATATAATAATGTGCAAGGATTTAACATATATGTAAGGAGCATATAGAAACTAATGAAAGGTCAAGTCTGGTCAAGATACCATCATCAAGACAATTGTTTTTCATACAATAAGTTTTATTAAATTAGTCCTGTGATATGGATAACAATTTTCATATATATAAAAGGATCATATTAAAAATATTCAATGGCCAAGTTGATCAAAATATCTTCTTATACAAGAACTTTCGAGCAATTGTTCCTCTGGCAGGAATATATTTTAGTTTCCCGATCAGATTGGTTCCTGCCTGCAAAAGAAATACGAACCTATTCCAAGTTTCAAATCTTTCTGCCTGTTCCATAAATATTCACAAATCATCTTACTCAAATATACGCATTTTATAAATCTTGCATTTTTATTTTAGGTCAATTAAACTGTTTCAAGAACTTTTATACTTGAACCCACATTTCACCTGTGCAAATGAAGTCCATCTACGTCTAGGACTGATGCTCAAGGTTAATGGTGATTTTCGGAGTGCACTTAAACACTTGCAACTGGCATTGGCGGACTCATCGCCCTCTACGTTTACGGATCTTCAAGGTATGTTGCTTTATTAATGCTTTAAATTATTATTTCCGACTTATAGATTCCTAGTTCTGTATTATAATTTCTATAAATAAAGTACAATAGTAGAGAGCTTTTAGTTTATTTTTTATTTAAAACTAGAGACGTTCGTTTCGAAGATTGTTAATGCAAAGAAATAAACTTTTTAACTACACCTGTTGTCTACTCTTGAGACGCTCGTTCGGAAGGTAGTATTTAACTCTCTGTATAAAACTGATTGTCCTGACTGACCGAGTGATACCTGATCGAAGCATTTTAAAACTGGGTTTTGGAAAACTCGTGATAAAGGTTACCATCCCTTCTTGGTGGAAATGGGGTTCAATGATTTGGTGGGTGATGCTTTTGGTCAAATTACCCGATTTGCTTCAAACTTATTTTCAAATAAGGTTTAGTGAACAACGTTTTTTTCGTCTTCAAGATTTGCCTTACATGGTTGACATAGGAGGAAACAATTAATCCCAATTATGGGAACTGAGAAAGTTATATCTGAAATTTGTATTGCAAAACATTTCACGGGCAGGGCCGGGTAATATATATGGGTTGGTGCTTTACTTGATTTCATTTCTTGGGTATGGAATATATACATTTAATACTACCTTACGTTTACATTTAATTACTACTTACGTAGTAATTACCAACAATTTTATTGTTTATACAAATTTTAATCATTTAAAAATTATTTCAGTGAAATTTCAAATAGCTCATCTGTATGAAGTACAAAATAAGCACAAAGCTGCAAAAGAATCATATGAATTTATATTAAATGACAGAAATGTATCATTGGATCTGAAAGCGGACATATACAGACAATTAGGTAAGAATATAATAAATAACATTAAGAATATTAAATAACATATAAATAACATTTATTCTAAAAAGTATTGGAAAGTTTTTAGACAATTAAATTGTAATGTCTATCAAAAGGCATATTTAAAAACTTGCCTGTAATAAAGCAATAAGGTACATTTTAGCAGTGTGTGCATCTTTTGAATGCCAATATTTCGTTAAGAAGCGCACAAATGAAAGTATCTCTAATATTGGGACCAGTGCCAATTAATCATCCCTCTTTAATGAATCGTAGAATTATGCTTGCTGCAAATGAGGAAGTCGACTCCTCAGTTGAATAGCTAATTTAACCTCTCTGTCCATACTACTAACAATTATTTACACTTTTGTCTAACTTACTGTGCCTTACATGAAGCGTTCCGGATTCCCTGTGGTGATTGCAACAAGAAGTATTACAGAGTATTCTGCTCGGAGTCATCTCTTCCTCGTATAATGTCATCTATTCTAAACTATTTAGCAAGTAGAAAGTCTTAATCTTAAGTCTTAGTTAGTGTTCTATTTTGTACTTATCGACTCGTGTTGTACGTACCACGTCTCCGCCGCTAGATCGGGAGATGGAATGCAGCACATTGCATTGGAGAATATTTATTTATTACTGAATTTTAGTCAGAATGAGAAGTATTTCAAATATATATATTTCCAAAAATAATAACTGCAAGATAGCGAAAATCGAGTATTCAATGGTTTAGCATCCTTAGATTTATCTCGAAAGACGAGAGACGAGAGAAGTTATAGAAAACAACAAAAATCCAGGTAGCTAAGCAGATAGCTTTTGGGTATAGTTGCAAATACCAAGCAAATGCTTCGACAGTGAACAGAAGTAATCAAGAATATTTTCCATTTCACCAATCATCAAGCAGCATCATTGCCATTACCTAAAATATATAATTTTATATACTCGCCAAAATTTTGTTAAAGATATGTATGTTTTATAAATATTTGCTTGATGATTTTCAGGATGGATGTATCATTGTGTCGAATGCCTAGGCGAAAAAAAAGAACGTGAATCTAACGCGTTACGTTTTTTACAAAAATCAATTGAAGCGGATCCAAAGTGTGGACAATCATTATACTTACTGGGAAGATGTTACGCTGGGGTTAATAAGGTTCATGATGCGTTCTTAGCCTACCGGAACTCGGTCGAAAAAAGTGAAGGGAATGCGGATACCTGGTGCTCAATCGGGTAATTTCAGCTTTTAATTTTTTTTAGTCTCCAAATAAAACTAATTATTATTTTGTATAGTGTCTTATATCAGCAGCAAAATCAACCAACAGATGCGCTCCAAGCATACATATGCGCAGTTCAACTAGATAAAGAACATAGATCGGCATGGACGAATTTAGGTATTCTTTATGAAAGTTGTGGGCAATTGCGAGATGCATACGCATGCTATTTAAATGCAGTTAAACAGATTTCAAAACAGGTATATAATTAACGAAATACTACCTTAATCTTAATTTTTAACACCTTCAATACAATTCTGTGGAGTTTATTTCTGACTTACTTATTAGTAAATGTTTCACCAAACATAATTCTACTATCCTTAAAAGAGGGGTGTTAAGGACAACGTCAGTAGTATTTTGGAATATGAATTCCATTTAATCTGAATTCCAGGCGAATAAAAAAATTTCTGTATAGGCACCAAACACATTGGCCAAAGAAGAGGACGGCTTAGGGCATTTGTCGTGCGCGGATCGTAAAACTAGATTTATGAAGCTCTGAACAGTCCTCGGCTTATTGAACTTTTTTTTATTTGCTCGTAGTCCTCCTCGTATAAAATTTTCTATTCTAATTTGTTTAGCAAGTAAAAAGCACTAATCTACAGTCTTAGTTTGTATTCGCTTTTGTGCTTCCTCTCTCCAGCTCTTCAGTGCTTGTGTTGCCATGGTCTGCATGCACCTTTATCTTTAGACTCTGATCTAGGATAAATATTAGATTTATGACCTCAGTCGAAATTGGTACTGTTCTCATGATATTATTGTGGGTCTTAATGATTTCATTTCATAGTGATTTATCAAACAGCAACCACGCAAAAAATAACCGCATGTGATCATGTTAGAAAGAAAAACTCCAACCTGTGAGTTGCCCATGGTTGCTTGCCATTTAAAGCTACATTTGCTAGAAAAAAGTATTCAAAATTTATTGCCAACTCTAGGCCTTTTATCATTGTAATGACATATCTTAACGCCTTACTTTTATAATATAAATACCAATTAATTTACCCTAAATTAAGGCAAAGAAGTAGAACAACTACTGCTTTGTTCGTTTATTTTAAGTCGGACACCTTCGACTAGAGAAATTTATTTATTAAAATATTAAGAAAAAAAAAAACCGAATGGATGTCAATTATATTTTTATAGAAAATAACCACTACCCAAGAAGGAAATAAAGCTTTATTATTTACAAGCAGTACAAATGGATTAACTAAGGGCATTATCCAACGAGTGAAATTTCTTGAAACGCAACTGAGCCACGCACCACTGCCAAGTATAACATCAAAACGCCGCCAGCTGTGTTCAATTGAAGAGGCTTGGAACCTTCCAATATCATTAGAAATTAACTCCCGTCAACAACAGCAAAATCTTCAAATGCAGCAAAGACAGTATGGAAAAAACTCATCTTTACAGGTAACCTTCACAATTTACGATATTACATACCTCAAAGTTTTTCTATATGAAAATTTAACCAGCGTATTTAGTTATTTGATAATAAATACATTTAACTCTCTTACAAATCTTTTTTATATTCAGGGACCGCCGCCACCGTACCCACACAACCACGGAACTCAAAGCAACCCAACACCAGCAAAACGAGCAAAGGACGATTCCGACCTGTCCGCAATGAATCGATCGGAGCAGCAAATGCACAATCTATGTCAAAATGAAATTAGTACACTACACAATGTACAACAGAATCAAAAGAGTTTCAGTGTACAGCAAGAACGTCAGTTACCCGCGCCAAATCGCCAACCCTTAAGGAACAACACATCTCCATATGTAACATCAGTTATACCAGAAGGAACAAATACATATTGTTCTGAAGCAATATCATCTAAAACCATAAAAGAGGAATCTGTTGATTTAGAAGGCATTTTTTCTTCGAATGATAAGGTTTCATTAGGTATGTTTTTCTCCTTAAACCTGTATTGATCACTAAAATTCATAATCGACGTTCTTAACTATGCTGTGAAGACAAACGTCAAGCAAAAGTACATTTATTTTCATTAGTTAAATAACATTATCTGCAACAATAACTAAGAGCATTGATTTATTATGCAGCTTTTTTAAATATATATTTTCGATCTTATATACCGCAGACGTAAATGGCCAGTCGATAAATGAACGACCTCAGTATATTTCGACGGAATTCGTCGAAGACATTTACCAAAGTACGGCTGATGATGATAAAAAGCCCGTTAAATATGAGGGCTCAACGCAAAGCAATGATGACAGTCACAATATATTTAAACAAAAGACAAAAGTTGAATTTGATATTGATGCTGATTCATCACCTACATTCAATATACAAATGGAGTCGAAACAATTGTGGTCTGCTGTACAGAATTTATCGTTTCATGAGCCACCAACAAATTTTACAGTACTCTTGAGGAATGCACCTCCGCCCGCGCCACCAGATTGCCCACCACAGAAGCTTACAAGGGAGCAGCTGTTACCACCCACTCCATCGGTTCACTTGGAGAATAAAAAGAATGCTTTTAGCCCACAATTGCAAGAATTTTGCTTAAAGCATCCAATTGCCGTTGTACGGGGCCTGGCTGGTGCTCTAAAGCTAGATTTGGGACTCTTTTCAACCAAAACTCTTGTTGAGGCCAATCCAGATCACAGCGTAGAAGTAAGAACTCAAGTAAATCAGTCTCCTGATGAAAATTGGGACGTATCTCAAGCGAAGAGAGTTTGGGCCTGTATATCACATCGATCTCATACAACTATTGCCAAATATGCTCAATATCAAGCATCAAGCTTTCAAGACAGTTTAAAGGTAATAAATAAAGCAATTAATTTAAATTAAAATCAATTTAAAATTATAACATATTTGAATTAAGGATGAAGGCGATAAAGGTTCAGCAGGCTCCCAAGTGATGTCGGATTCCGATTCTAAAGATTCAGTATCTAATTCGAATATTAATTTAAAACGTAAAAAGGCTAAAAACGGAAGCAAAATGCTAAGGTATATAAATATTGTTGTATTCAAATTAATTAAATTAATCATACTTTTCTTATTCTATATTTTCTTTTTTTTTTCTTTCTTTTCTTTCTTTTTTATAGGTTTGGAACCAATGTTGATTTATCGGATGAGCGAAAATGGAAGCCTCAATTAAGTGAATTACAAAAATTGCCTGCCTTTGCGAGAGTAATTTCCGCTGCAAACATGTTGTCCCATGTAGGCCACGTCATTTTGGGAATGAATACTGTGCAATTATATATGAAAGTTCCTGGGAGTAGAACGCCCGGGCATCAAGAAAATAACAACTTTTGCTCAATTAATATAAACATAGGACCAGGAGATTGTGAATGGTTCGCTGTCCCAGATGCTTATTGGGGTGGAATTCATAATCTGTGTGAGAAAAACAATATCAGCTACTTACATGGATCGTGGTGGCCTGTTTTAGAAGACTTATATAAAGAAAATATACCAGTATATCGGTTCATACAGAAACCTGGAGACTTAGTTTGGGTAAATGCTGGGTAAGTTACGTCACATTAATTTAAATTCTTTAACTATTGAAAACGGCTAAAAAGGTTCTTAACGTTTTTTATGCAAATTCTTGTAACACGAGTGAGAAGTCCCCATACATTTTATTTCTTCACCTTCCTCACCCGAAATCGATAAATATCGATTTAAAGACTCTGAGCATATTATCTAGAGAAAACCCCTAACTTATCAAATGGAACACATATCTAAAGTCAATTCTACTATTGATAACCCCTTTTTTCACATCAGTTTCCGATATCTTACAGGTAGATAAATAATATTTTATGTGGGAGTGTCTGTCAAGGATACGGATGTGCGATAAGACATATACAAAAAAGCGTGAACTCGCAAGTTTCTCAATTAAAACAGTCTCCGTGCTTCTGTTTTTTTCTAGCTATATTATCGGTCTGATTTTAGACCACTCTCTATGAAATTTTAGGGCATAAATATGTCTACCACAACAGCAGGGCTACACTTTAAAAAACACCTTTTGGTGTATTTTTCGTTGTAATTGTGAAGGCTATTAAAATGTGATGTACTTCGGGGTTATTAGCTATGGACTTGTTTTGAAACATTTCGTTTGGATACGAATATTTACTGCATACGCGAATATAATCTGAATATTGTCCTCAATCAGACAGATAAACAAACGGACACGAATAGGTCGACTCAGCTCGTTTACCTGTTCATTATTATAATCTCCCTGCGATCTGGTATCTTCAAGTCGGGCACTAATTGAAATTTGCATTAACTTATTATTTCAGATGTGTTCATTGGGTACAGTCGGTAGGATGGTGCAATAATATAGCGTGGAATGTTGGACCACTTACTGCACGACAGTATTCTCTTGCCATAGAACGTTACGAATGGAACAAGCTTCAAAGTTTTAAAAGTATT